TATTTCATTATCACTCTCAAACAGAAATACATCATTGTACGTCTTAACATATAATGTATATGCTGCCGAATGCTTTTCTATCTCATTACAGGTATCTTTATCTGATGTTCACCTGTATCATTGTCAGGATTTTGTTTGTTCCTGCTATATTTGAAGGATTCCTTCCTATTGTCCTTAAATGTACTGAACACAGATTTTTTTTTCACTGATACCTTTAGCTTTCCTTACCAGTTGTCTGGACTTCCCAACTGCTGATTTGGACTTATGCTATCAACCTTCCCACATTTTAATCATTATATAGAGATTTTAAATGTATATATTTTATAACTGCCCTCATCTTTTTTTCTTACCCAAGGTGCTTTTTTGGGTCACTTAATCCATCTTCCATGACTGGAATGGTGCTCTTTGGGGCATCCAATTATGTATGTTTAAACAATTACCATTTATACTTTTATGTTTAAATATTTCCTCTGATTAAGTTTTGCCATTTGTATAACTAGGTTTCCCAAAACAGACAGGTGCCCAAGAGTAGATGGGAGTTTGTCTTGTAGGGAAAACACCCACACAGATATCCCATTTTCCCCTTTTTATCCACACTTTTACCTAAGTAATTGCTCCCATCATTCTCCAGAGCCAGACCAGAAAGGAACATCTTGCAATAGAGCACCATGGTATGATTCCCAATGACAACATGCATCCACAAGAGATGGTGATGTTCTATGAACCCCTGAATGCCAGGAGTAAACACAGCCCCTTTGATGGTGAAACAACCAGCTGACATGGTTTGCCACATCTCACGGCATTAAGTGAGCTCTTGATCTTCAGATACAAAACAAAAAGCTGCAAAGGGCAATGCTGGAGCAGGTTTCTGCAGCTTTTTTGTATCTGCCCCCTCGCATCTTCCAAAGAGAATCAGTTAAGTGATAATAGGAAACAGTGGGTGAAATAACAAGCAGGTTTGTGACATTTAAGAAGGGCTGTCAGTATATTTGTCGTGCCCACAAACCCAACAAAACTAGCATGTTTACACTAAACACAACATTTAGCATCAAAGAAAGGACTGAAATGCTCTGTAGCTGGAGCTCTGCAAGTGCTGACTAATGAAAGGCTTGTTAAATAATGTCAGATACTTATGATGCCATTGGCATTGCACCTTGAGCCCTCAGAGTACCTGACCTGCATCCAGTATCATTTCTAGACACAGAGAAGACAGGGAACATAAAGACTAAGCTTAAAATATGGTGGTGTTTACAGCTCCATGGCTTCTTGGTCATAAATCTGAGTTGTAGAATAATTCACCTATGGCTCTTAAAGCACTTAGCAGCCATTGGCCTTCTTGTGAAATAACTAAGTATGGACAGATTCATGGTAAAGGGAGGCACAGTCAGGAAGAGGGACATGTTTCAGCCTGTACCACTGGCAGTGGCAGAGTCAGATTAATACCGCTGGGCCCTGATCCTAGATCCTTGCCCCAACCCTTTTCTCACAGCACTTCCTGATCTTCCTTCCTTCCTTTCATCCTGCCTCTGAATTCTGCATTTCTCCTGTAATTTACTTGCTATAATAAAGCTGAAAACACCAAATACATAGAAGGTTGTTACCAGATCCAGGGTACACTTTTAGCACAACTAGTCACAACACACGAGAGAGCTACTCATGACTTTGTGCTAATCATCCAGGGCTGGACCAATATGCCAACATTATTAATGACGAGGTTTTTTGGGTGACTCTGATATTTTTTTATTAGACCAACTTAAATAGATGGACTTCTGTTGTTCTTTGGTGTTAGCCAGGTTTGTTTGACCCTTGTTTTCATTTTTATTATTTAAGGTTGGCTTCCTTTTATTTAGTAACTGCCCTTACCTTATCTCCCAGATGATAGCTGAGGAATGGGTGAGTGATTTGTTTAAATTAGTTATGGGCTAGATCCAAAAAGGACTTAAGCTTCTACCATGGGACATGAACAGATTTTTGCCTCTTATGTCCAAAACTATGATCTTGAAACCATCCACTTAGATTCATAGAGGTTAGGGTCAGAAGGGACCTCAATAGATCATCGAGTCTGACCCTCTGCATAGGCAGGAAAGAGTGATGGGTTCAGATGACCGCAGCCAGATGCCCATCCAACCTCCTCTTGAAGACCCCCAGGGTAGGGGACAGCACCACCTCCCTTGGGAGCCCATTCCAGACCTTGGCCACTCTAATTGTGAAGAAGTTCCTTCTAATGTCCAATCTAAATCTGCTCTCTGCTAGCTTATGGCCATTATTTCTTGTGACCCCCCAGGGGCGCCTTGGTGAGTAGAGCCTCACCAATTCCCTTCTGCGCCCCCATGATGAATTTATAGGCAGCCACAAGGTCGCCTCTCAACCTTGTCTTGTGGAGGCTGAAGAGGTCCAGGTGCCCTAGTCTTTCCTCGAAGGGCTTGGCCTGCAAGCCTTTAACCGTACGTGTGGCCCTTCTCTGGACCCTCTCCAGGTTATCCACATCCCGCTTAAAGTGTGGCATCCAAAACTGCATGCAGTATTCCAACTGCAGCCTGACCCGTGCCACATAGAGGGGAAGTATCCCCTCCTTGCTTCTGTTTGTCATGCATCTGCTGATGCATGATAAAGTGCAGTTAGCTTTGCTTATGACTTCGTCACACTGACGACTCATGTTCTTCTTGGAGTCCACTAGGACTGCAAGATTCCTTTCTGCTTCCATGCTACCGAGCAGGTCATTTCCTAGGCAGTAGGCAATAGTGCTGGACATTTTTCCACCCTAGGTGCAGCACTTTGCATTTCTCCTCGTTAAATTGCATTCTATTGTTTTCTGCCCATTTGTCCAACCTGTCCAGGTCTGCCTGTAGGTGTTCCCTGCCCTCCAGTGTGTCCACTTCTCCCCACAGTTTTGTATCGTCCGCAAACTTGGACGAGGGAGTGAAGTGTACTCTGTCCAAGTCACTGATGAAGACATTGAAGAGTATCGGTCCAAGGACCGAGCCCTGCAGGACACCACTGCTCACTGTCTTCCAGGTCGATACCAACCCACCTACTACCACTCTCTGGGTACAACCCTCTAGCCTATTTGCCACCCACTGGGCTGTGTAATCATCCAAGTCACAGCCTCTTAACTTGTTCACCAGTATGGGGTGGGATACCGTATCGAAGGCCTTCCTGAAGTCTAAGTAAATGATATCAACCCCTACTCCTGTGTTGAGGTGTTTTCTAACTTGGTCATAAAAAAAAAACTAGATTAGTCAGGCATGATCTACCTGCTATGAACCTGTGCTGGTTTCCCCTCAGCATAATTTTTCCTGCTGGGCTCTCACATATATGAGCCTCAATAATCTTTTCAAAGACTTTGCCAAGGATGGAGGTGAGACTGACTGGTCTATAGTTGCTTGGATCCTCCTTCCTCCCCTTCTTGAAAATAGGAACCACGTTGGCCCTTTTCCAGTCCTCCGGGACCTGTCCCATGCACCACGAATGCTCAATTATTCTTGCCAGTGGCTGTGCAATGATATCAGCCAGTGCCTTCAGTACCTTCAGATGGAGCTCATCCTTGGCTACCTCCTAGCTTTGCAGAGGTGCTAAACTCCATAAGCACCTTTTCTCATCACATGTTCAGGCATCTAGTATTACTTGGAACTGTATCAATCTTGATGTGGCTGAATAGCTCAGCACCTAGCTCTCTCCCACATGAAACGGGGCTCCAGAAACTAGGAGTTCCTCTGTTAAGTCCCCTGAGGGGCTTCATCCAGTGGGTAGTCTCAGACACACTAGAACACACAGACCAGCTTTTTACAAATGCAACAGTACTTATTGCTTTCTTTGGCAATACGACAAGAGAAGAAGATTATATAGCCCAAGCTGAGTCCCCATTGTGTAACATCCATGTGGTAAGGGTACATATCCAAGTGTCAGGAGTCAATTCCCTCCTCAGCATGTGGAGACTTGAGTCCAAATCTCCCACCTCTCAGGATAGTTGCCTCAGTTCTAAACTAGGCTGGGTGGAGAGCATCAGGCTGTGTAGGGAAGAATTCAAGATTCATGGGGCCACAGAGCAGAAGTGTAAGAGAACCTGGCTCAGTGGTCTCAGTAGATAAGGGAAGTTATGTGGGAAAGGGAGAGTCCTGGGGTCCTGCTCCCACATCTCTTCTTGTATTTTACAATAGATGGTCAAATTCATAGATGCTGGGTTCGGAAGGGACCTCAACAGAGCATTGAGCCCGACCACTTGCCTAGGCAGGAAAGAGTGCTTGGGTCAGAGGACCCCAGCCAGATGCCTCTCCAGCCTTCTCTTAAAGACCCCCAAGGCAGGGGAGTGCACCACCTCCCTAGGAAGCCCATTCCAAATTTTGGCCACCCTTACTGTGAAGTTTTTCCATGGGTCTTCTACTCTCTGGATGAGAGCTATAACCACTAGATTCAGGTGAATCAGGGCAGTGCTACCACCTCCTCTGTCCATGTTTTAAAAAGAAAACATGATCTCTGCTTTGTTCTTTGAAAGAAAAGGAGTGGACAGCTCCCTTCAAGCAAGGACACTGGGTTGGTAATCCCATCCAGACACAGGGGCCTGCTTGCCACCTTGACTAAGGTACCCATGCTCCTGATGGTGCAGGAGCTGAGCCCTACCCCTGCGCCCAGCATTTCTGATTGGTGAGCTCTAAGCGGTGGCATGCTGGGTATGTGGACTTTAGTCAACTTTCTGCTTACTATGCTGCCTGCTGGGGATCCCATTCCGAAGAGGCCAATTCTTCAGTGCATAGGGAACCTCAACACTTAGCACAGGGGTTTGGATTCCTCTTGGCCAGGTGCCTAAAACATCCAAGACGTTAAGACTAGAAGAAGTGATTCTCTAGTGAGTATAAACCAATGAAGTCCTGCTGTAATGGTTCTTACCATGACTAGAACTCAGCCCTGAAATTATTTGGCCTTAGATCGACTGGTCAGAAGGGGCAATGTCAGAATGATGTCATGGCACAGCCATGTTTATGAGTATAAAAATGACTTCAGCGATGAAAATGATGATGGGTAACATGAAGGTATTTGACAGTGTTGGAATCAGTGCTTTTATACCTTTTCATGAAACGTTGCTATATGGGGATCGCACATGGGTTTCTAAAACCTCACTAGCTGTAACTCGTTGTTTCAGCAAACGACTGTGGTGAGCTTCTTCAAAAGGCAGTGGGCTTGTTGGTGGCGGAGTCTGGGTTTTGAGAAAAGGGCTGATGACTGTGAGCGTGATACAGTGCAAATGTGCCACTAGTCTTGGAAAAGAAGCATGCGCCAGCTGTTAAAGAAAAGCATCACTCAGGCTGAAAAATTGGCTTCAATTCTGATCCTTCTCTCATTGTGTTCATACCACTTGTTGCTGTGATGTTTGAGACAACCTAACCTATTACTTGCTTTAATGCTGCTTGCAGTTTTATACTTGGGTTCACATACACTGGAGCAGTGTTACAAAGTTCGTGTGTGTGTGTGTGGATGTAAAACATGAAACATTCATGTGGTACATGTGTATATGCACAAAATGAGCCAGGTCCTTCACCTGGCTGAAGTAAAAGAATGGGTGTAAATTATCATGATTTTACACCCATGTGAAATTCTGGACATTATAGTGCTGTTGCCACTGGAGTCTTTAAATCCCTCCTTCCTTTAATTGTACAAGTTTAATTTTTATGAAACCTGTGACATGATGTTTGTTTTGACAGCATCACTTCACCTCTGGTACTCAACTGGGAATAGAGACCCCCAAATTCCACAAAGATCATAGCGGTGATGATCTTAGTCAAACTTTAAATGTTAAGATTTTGGCTGACCCAGGATTCTCAGATGGGGTTGTGCTGAGCATCCTAGCAGGATTTAGCTCAGTGTGGGGAAAGCATCCTAACTGCTGGAGGCTAATTCAACCCAATGCTGTTTCTTCAGGATGCACTTGTGGCTCGCTAGTGAAAGAATTGATTCACCAGTGTGGGGCTGGGAAGAGTCCTGATCCCTGGCTCTGATGTAGCTGGCATCACGGATCCAATACAAGGGTAACCTTCTACAAGTGTGGATCTTGTGATTGCTGTAGTGGCTAATGGGAATGTCTGAGACGGGGCAATGCCTGGAGGTCCCTGCTGGGATCAGGGCTCCCACACATGCTACAAGCATGTGGAGCAGCCAACCCCCGTCCCCAAAGAGCTTCCAATAAGCAAGCCCTAGGAAGTTACCTTCATTTTAGTTTTGGGTGTTTTATTTTTTGCTTCAGTCTTAACCAGAATAAGGCAGCCCCAGACCCCTGGTATAGTAGTAAAGCTTCTAGTTTCTTTTTCACTTTACTGGAGAAAGGAAAGTGGTGTTTTGCATGTGATGATGATGCCTCTCACCATGTGCGCCTCCCCGCTCAGCATCCTAGATCTGCCTTCTTGCATGGCTGGGCACAAGGCTGGGCATCCTCCTGGGCATGCCCAGCACCACTTCCCACCCTCAGAGCTGAGGACCCAACACAAGCAAAATAATGATGCTCTTACTTTTCTTGAAAAAAAAAAAAAGTAGAGGTCAGTTTCTCTTCCTTTCATGTGTGCAGTTCATCTTAAACCAGTGCAAATTTACCCAAAGCAAGGACCTGGAAGGAATAAAATAGTCTTTATTCATTGCAATAATATATATGAATATATTAACATTATGTATATAGATATGTATATGTAGATATATATATAGATCTCTCTCTATCTCTATATATAGCTATATATATATATATAGTGAGCTATAGATATATGTATCATATTGAGATATACATATATATATATTTGTTATTGTAAGATATGTTATTGTGAGGTATCTATCTAATTGTGAGATATCTCTTATTGTGAGATCTTTCTCTCTCTCTCTCTCTTATTGTGAGATATCTATCTATCTCACAAGATAAATAGAGATATCTCACAGTAAGATATCTCTATCTATCTATCTCACAATAAGAGTTATCTCACAATTAGATAGAGAGAGATATTTCACAATTAGATAGATTCATAGATGTTAGGGACGGAAGAGACCTCGGTAGATCATCAAGTCCGACCCCTGCCCCGGGCAAGAAAGAGTGTGGGGGGTCAGACGACCCCAGCTAGGTGCTTGTCCAGTCTCCCCTTGAAGACCCCCAGGGTAGGGGAGAGCACCACCTTCCTTGGGAGCCCATTCGAGATTCTGGCAACCGTTACTGCGACGAGGTTCTTCCTGATGTCTGACCTAAATCCACTCTCGTCAGTTTGTGACCATTGTTCCTAGTTACTCCAGGGGGTGCCCTAGTAAACAGAGCGTCTCCTACTCCCTGCTGCCCCCGATGAATTTATAGGCAGCCACAAGATCACCTCTCAGCCGTCTCTTGCGAAGACTGAAGAGATCTAGATCCCTCAGGCTCTCCTCATAAGGCCTTGCCTGCAGGCCTCTGACCATATGAGTGGCCTCCTCTGAACCCTGTCGAGATTCTCCGCATCCCTCTTGAAGTGCGGTGCCCAAAACTGGATGCAGCCTGACCAGCGCTGCATAGAGGGGGAGCATCACCTCCCTGGACCTGTTCATCATGCATCTGCTAATGCATGATAAAGTGCAGTTAGCCTTGTTGATCGCTTTGTCACATTGACGGTTCACGTTCGTCTTGGAGTCAACTATGACTCCAAGTTCCCTTTCCGCTGCTGCGCTGCTGAGAAGGCTATCCCCCAGCCTGTAAGTGTGTTGGTGGTTCTTCTTGCCCCAGTGCAGCACTTTGCACTTGTCTTTGTTGAACTGCATCCTATTTCATTCTGCCTATTTTTCCAACCTGTCCAGATCTGCCTGGATCTGTTCCCTACCTTCTGGTGTATTAACTTTGCCCCATAATTTGGTATCATCTGCGAACATGGACAGGGTGCTCTCTATGCCCTAGTCCAAGCCACTGATGAAGCCATTGAACAGCACTGGTCCAAGGACTGAGTCTTGCGGGACTCCGCTGGCCACATCTTTCTGGGATGATCTCAACCCATCCACCACAACTCTCTGAGTGCGACCCCTAAGCCAATTTGCCACCCACCTGACCCTGTAATCATCTACCTCACAGCTGTCAGTTTATTTACGAGAACAGAATGAGATACCGTATCGAACGCCTTCTTAAAGTCCAGGTAGACGATATCTACCTCAACTCCTGTGTCTAAGCATTTTGTGACCTGGTCACAGAAAGAAACAAGGTTAGTCAGGCAGGATCTACCTGCAATGAACCCGTGCTGATTTCCTTTCAGCATTATTTCCCCTGCTGGGCTCCCTAAGCATTTTGTGAGAGAGACAGAGAGAGATCTCACCATGAGATAGAGAGATAGATAGAGATATCTGTCTGTCTTCTTGACATCTCTCTCTCTGTGAGGTGTCCATGGATACCACCTGTATGTTAGGATGATGGAGATGATCTGGTCTGCTCTGAGCCCGGGCTTGGCTGGCCGTGGCGGTGCGGGCGGACTAGCTGGGTGCGGAGTCCCCGGGCGGGGGCGGGGGGCCGGCGCTGAGGCTCCGGGGGCGGAAGCC